TATGTACCTCACACGACACACCATACTTGACAGCACAAGCACTGGTTAAAAGCCTAGACAAGATTTTTGCTGATATTCTACCGCTGTATGTCACAGCTGCGAGCGGTTCGGGTCATGATTGGGTCCTCAGCGTTCTCTAAGTGCTTTCTGGTAGATACACCGCTTTTGAAATTGCAATTTTAATAATTTAAACTTATGATATTCAAACATCAAAATTTCGGTCCGTGAAGTCGGGTGGCAGGTATACCTCCTTGTGCGGCATTCAAAAAGTATCTCGAATCGAGTCGGAAATCATTATTACGCATATAAAGAAGTATCCGCTGATAAGAACTAAAATCTGTTCGCGGGCATTAGACCAAACGTTCATCTATTCCTATAATCCACCTGCGTTAATCGGCATTTTCGGGAGCATATAACTTCAAAAACGAAAAAGGCTTTTGCACTTCTTTTATGTTGCTTAGCTGCAAAAGCAATTTTTGGACCTAGTGAATTATTCTGTCCGGCTTCGGGGTAATCGACACTCAGGCAAAACCTTGATTGTGGTTTCGTTTTCTTTTGCTTCCGTATGTTGTTTGATTTGTTGGAACCTTCTTCTCTGCCGGACATGTATACAATTACATCCCACGATGTCTTGAGTCTTTCCTACGATGGTCACACTTATCTATGATCGTGGTTCCGTGTCTGACTCCTTCCGTTTTCAACTTCTGGTGGAACTATCTCTTTAAATTCGTAATGAAAAGTGTCTCGAGGTCCGAACTTTACCTCGTAGATGCATTATAATTTACCCATGGCGTTGACTGGGAGTGCTTGTTTATATGCATCAAGCAGTGTCTGATGTTGGTGGACTACTTTAAAGTCAGGGCGTTCAGGTATGTTGTCGTCCTACCATGTGTGAGGGGATTGCTCTTGTTGGCGATCGTGCCAGGAATCTGAATCCAAACTACGTTTGAATGCACAATTTATGCAGACTAGTTGTCTGACAACACTACACTGGAATTGGTGCTTTTAGGGTTTGCCTTTCTGTCTCCCTAGGAAGGGTCTCGAGCTTAAGGCTCTACCTAGCTAGGTAGATGTTCCACTTTCAACTACTACTAACCTCACACTTGCTCGCGGATAGCCTTTGCAGCTAGTTCTCAACTAGTTTTGTATTTTTATTTATTCGTGTCAGTAACCTTTGAGGCACAATCTGCCCAGTGGCCCCCTCGACTAGTTGGCACCAGACTCCATATTGACGTATGCAGACTGCCCATTAAGACCACTAACCGCATACAAGATCGCAAATCTGACCGGCTAATGCAGGCCTAGACGAAACATATTACAATGCTATGAGGGACAGTAGCTGGTAACAGTCTGCCGGCCTGGTCTTTTTCCTAGAACCATTAGTGAAGAATTACATAATTGAGGTCTGGTCAGGGTTTAGCACACTCCCCAGACTTCTCCGTTCTGTTTATCGTGCTGTTGACCAACCTTAACCTCTTTTACCGTACCGCATTTGAGAACTCTGCTTTCGCGTCTCTATGAGAAAATTCCTTCAGGCACTCTATGAGCTAGTCGCAAACGTTTTTTCTATACATAAACCCAAAGTTGAGGTTAACTGATTGCGCTGAGGGCCAAGTGAGACTTGCATCACAAATTGCCGTGTTAGATTGTGATGTGGGGTGGGAAAAACAGTTAGAGGGAGAAACGGAATGCGTTATCTCTAGCAAGTTCGCCTTACAAGGTTTGATAGCTGATTGCGACGGGCCCGTCCGCAGATGAAGCCCTACTCGACCGCACTCTATTTACAGGTTTAATCGATTTTCGGTTTCGCAGGAAAAAATTGCTTGCCTATTCGAACAGTGTATTCAAAGTTTCGGCACAGTGGTATGTTGGCTTTTGCACAGTCGGTCATAAAAACCAGACGACCGAGTGCGTACAGGAGTTTACGGTCTGAGATGGCAGCGACAGAGCAAGTGACCGTTGCATGATCAACAACCAATCAGTGGCCGGTGCCATAGGAGATAGCAGCTCAGAGCTCTGCATGCAGCCGCAGAATCAATGTACGTGTCTAACAAGTTATCTGCGAACCGGGCTTCAGTGCACTCTCATCTCGCCTTGTTCCCGGCGTGTGCAATTATCTTGGCATCAACGAAATTGCAATCGCTACCCGATTCGAAGGTGTGTGCAAATATTTGTAAAAGTTCTTCGCCTCCTCGCACAACCAGCTTGTGCTCGTGTATGCGCGGTCTGAGCTTGCACTCGGTCTCACCTGTATAATTACAAGGATAAGTTAAACAATGCTTTTAATACACTAAGCCAAATTGCTCGCTGAAGTTTATTCGGTCGTGGTGGATTTCGACCGATTTACACATCCAACACCTGCAGAAATTCTCTCGGTCTCTTCAGAAGCGTCCTACATATATGACAGAGCGTGCCATTTTGTCCGCTGGCTTTCTGCCTGGGTTCTTCGGCGTATAAGTACTTTCGAATAGTCATTTCTCACCGATCAATTGCAGACAGGATGGGCCTCGCGTGCCTTGTCTTCCGGGATTGTTGCAGTGAATCATTGTCCATTTGAAGAGAGTCCTGGAAGATTCGTTTACAAGCCGCCGGATGCTTGTTAAAAAAACTGAAAAGTTGCATGGGGCTTGTCACCTTTCTGCGAGCCACTGTCTCATTCTCACCATCAGGACTGCCTGACAGACACATCGAGGTAAGGCGGCCGTCGCTAACTTTATTCGTCGTCCGTGGATTATCTATCTGTGCCTAGAGGTGGTACCGACAAAGACAAGGGGGACCGGAATGGCAATTTCTGACTTGTTAGTCTTAACCAACCAGTCATACCTAACCCCCGACATGGAACACCCGATCGAAAAACCGACAGGACAACGAACTCGTGGCCCAGTGGTTAGAGGCGTGGACTTCTAACAAACAGGTCGCCAGTTCGAGCCTCGGGTGTTCCGCACTTCGAGGTTGGGTATGACTGGCTGATGACGGCTAATAAGCCAGAAATGACCATTCCAGCCTCCCTTGTCTTTGTCGGTAATATCATTCTGCATATATATACCATTATATAAGTACATAAAAGTAAGAAACTGCGCTAAATGCACTATGGAAATCCTAAAGTATGCCCTGCCTGACAGTGCCAAACGTGAAAGACATAACGGAACCAGAAGAGCATGCCATGCGGGCTGCAGTCTTTGCTATTCCCGTCGGACCAGATCTGCACTAAGACCAATATCGGAGAGCTCGTGGGAGTTCCTTTGCACTGTTCATAGGTTCCTTCTCAGAATTTGGAGTCCGTAGGCAAAATCCGAGCACTCGCAAGGTGATCGGTCTTCGGGGGTCTCCAGGTTTCGCCTTATGAACTTCAGTCTTTTGCGCCAAATCCCATTGAGTATGCGTGAACAATGACATCAGTTCGAAGAAGACTATAATTTCATCCTGTTGAGTCCTCCGACCTCGATATTCTAGAAGGATTTCGGAGGTCATCCCGATCGGGGTAATCGAATTGTCCCGGAGAAAGTTCAGTTTGAGGTACATGCATCTGCAGTTATACGTAGGGCTGCCTTCTAACGCGACTATTATTCGTAGTAGAACACTCGGTTCGCTGGTCTTTGGTCGACCATAAATCGAACCAGAGCAGTGTTTCGGTCTTATTTGGCGCCATCCTTCACAATGACATCTGTGCGTTGTAATTACTCAAACAGTTTATTTCTTCGCTGTTGTCATCTCTGACCATGGACTCAAGTATAGGTTCCAATGCTCGTGTCTCTACTAGCCTTTTCAGTTCCTATCCGGACATTTTTTACTGTTAAGTTTGCCACTTGGGTCTCATAGAACCCCCTACCGAAGTAGGGGTGCATCTTTAAAAAAGACGTACTTCGATACCTCTGATGGCTAAATTTATTTGGCAATTTCGTTTATGTAGGGTAATCGATACTGTAAGTCTACAGCCGGATGCTAGCTTGATTGGAATCATCCATCCGGCACTCGGGTGCGAGTTCGACACTGCCAAGACCAAGTACCTCCTCCCAGAATCCAAACGTATAACCTGTAAAACGTGACGTAGATTGTCTTTGTAGAATAGCCGAACAGAATTCGGACGGTTGCGAAAGGCTAGTATGAAGCAGAGCGTCATCCTTATCACCACAGCAATTTTGGACAGCGTGCGATTGAACTTCATGCGCACTCGAGGTAATAACGGAACCCAAGCCTCCACGTCGACGTGTGGATCTCAGTCTCCTGGATCATCACTAGTGAAGTTTTACAGTGAAGCTAGGGAAAATGCACTTTCCTAAGTGCTGTGGCGACACCACTAGAGCTACTTAATGCTATTTTAGCTATTTATGTAACGTGCGGTTACAGTCGGTCCTTACTTGAACCCGCTCGTTTTTCTATCATTTTACAGAGCTTGTGGATGGGATAGGACGTATTTCGTAATCGTTGCGAGGTAATTAAATTAAACTTTCCGATACTTGCAGTAAATTCTGACCACAAAAACACTTTGTCATTCCCCCACATATTTCGTGTTTTGCAGAAGTATATCACGGAGCTTGTGCAGATGTTCCTTTGTTCTTCAGGAGCCTGAAAAACGGCGTTTCCGGGTTTCTACTGCTATATAGTACAAACAGGCGTGGTGACTCTGTTTCATGTTCCCCACCATTTCTGAATGCTCAAAGAGAGGTGGGAGGCATTTTCACTTCGATCATATCCTAGCGGAGCTGTGACCTAACGTTATATAACGAGAAGAAAAAAGCCCGCCGCCAAATATCTTCTCTATTGTGTTCCGTCAAATTCGCCGGACATTTTTGGGGGGGGGGGGGGATATAGAGGTTGGGTCAACCGATGGTCAGAATAACAACTCAAAACCCGCAGTCATTCTCGAAAGAACAACCCCAAAAGACTCGAAATCCATATTTATGATTTCCTCGTGGTCACTGTCTCTCTTTTTTCCCATTGTCTTTCTCTTTTTTGCTGTTTTTGCCTCAGTCAGCATGAACATACTACAGGCTCAAAGTATGGAGGCCCAGCAAAGACTAATGGAGAATGGACCGGACGCTAGGCGAATGCGAAAGGCAATTTTCCGGCGCACTATTGACTACAACGCAGCTGTAATAGCCTACCTCAAAGATCGGATCTGGCAGCGGACCACTCGAAAACGGCCGGCCATACAACCAGATTATCTGTACAACTTTTTAGTAGTCTTTGTTTTTCCCTTAACTCATCTTGTAGTTAAACCCGCCTGGGGAATACCTAGACAGTCCGATGAATTGCGTTACTGGCAAGCCAGTGCGCACGTCAACTAATAAAAACAAATGTCCAATCTATTGTGTCTGCGTAAGCTTTTCTGTCCTTTTTCCATGAAGTGCCTTTTAGTGGACCCCAGAGGGTCGACGACTGATAACAGGAGCATATAGCGGTGAATTCACCTTGTGGAACGGCCTTACGTTTAACTTTGAAACCATTCTCCAAGTAGGCGATTGTCGTATGTCTTACTAAAACATATTCATTCAGGCTCATGAATCCCAGATACGCTGCATGAAATGGTCTCACAACGACGATTGGCTCCTGACCGCAGACCACTCAGGATACGTAAAGTATTGGCAGGCAAACATGAACAACGTGGAAATGTATCAAGCGCACAAGGAACCAATCCGCGGCGTCAGGTACGACTTCTGGGTTTCCTGGACCAGTTTCGGCTTGAAATTTCTCTTCTCACTGCTACGTAACTGTGACTCTGCCGAACTAACTTTTGTACTTTTTGTGGATAACGCATCAGTTTTCTGGACCAATATGCAGCCCATATACTGGCAACTTTGTTTAGATTCCGATCACTGCTTTGCAATAAAGTTCATTTGTTGGTCAACATCCGTAGAACTAATAAAGCTCTTGTCGCTTCATGTCATTGTTTGGGGCTTTCACTGAGGGACTGCTGGGTGCACGATTTTCGTATACCCGTGGGTTCTGCATCATTTCAGACATACGTTGGCCGTCCAAACTCCATCCTTAAAATCTAGCATCGACATAGACTCAGTCTATAAATCGTCTCAAGGGATTATGATGCCACCTTAGTGACATACTATCTGTCATTCGTACCTTTGTTTACGAACTAAGTTGGTCTTGGTGATCGTAAAATTTGACCCGCACATTTTTAGCGCATGTTGTGTCTTGCTATGATAATGTTTTGTTATAGCATTCACTTTGGATTTATTTTTGCTGCTTCTGAATTAAAATAAGGCCAATGTAAATTATACTGTCACTAACGCCAGATAGATCGGTTTCATTGGTAAAATTTTATGTACCGAACTTGAGTGAGCCATACTTCGACGTAATGTAGGGTATACACGTGAGGGGTGATCCGGTTTTACTCCTGCCACGACTGAACGTTTTCATCGGCGCGTTGTGTGGATGGCCAAAATGTATAACTTATTGACTATGTGTTTTTCTAATTGACTGACGTTGCATGGTTTCGTTGGGCTTTTCGCGTGCCTTGGCGAGTACATATTCGAGTGCCGTCTTCTTCACTCTTTAATGGTATTGATATTAATGTGCCCTTTAGGGCGTGCAACCTACCGGAATATTTTGTAAAGCAAAATTGTTATAGAAGCTTAAATCATTAATTTGGTTTACTCGCTATCACTGGCCGACTGAAATCATCTGTTGTTTGCAACTGCATACCCTTACTCGAGGAATGAACAACTACGCGGACGACTGCGGACCGTCATGTTTTATCAGTAGCACTGAATAATTGTGAGACGGGAGGCATGCTTTAACGGCTTCGGTTGTTATCTGTTTCATCCTGTTGACATGACTTTTGGTGGATAATGTCTGACCATAACTGTTGTGTGGTGTTTAGTAGAGGTGCATTTTCTATAGGGACTAATGTAACTACTGGATTTCAAATTTCCACTTAAGTCGCAGCCCTAGCTGGTATGTAGTGTCTGAGTTCGCCGTCCATCTAATTTACTCCAGCGTGTGAAGTATGGGACTACGCCAGCATCTGTCCGTCTTGTGACTCAATCTTCCGTTCCAATATTTTCACTTTCGGCAGGAAATTATTCTGCATGCTCCTCTATGCTATGGATGCGCGGCTGTCCTTTCGATGCTGTTTTATCTGCCTTCGGAGTGCAGTCAGGGCGCTTATTGGCGACATCACTAACGTTATGAACTTCGTCAATAAACCAGTGGGATCCGCTAGGCATCTTCAAAGTATCGGCATAAATCCAGGTCCTCACTTCTAGTATTATGTTGATGGTAGTTCCTAGATGTACATTATTTTCATACTGACCCAACTGTGAAACACTCGGCGCCTCGGTGGGATTCGAACCTACGAGAGTAATGTGAAGGCTGTAGTACAGCGAACGCTCTAACCACCTGAACTACGAGGCTCGGCTGGACGGCGCGAGTTCAGTCACATTAGGGTCAAGTTACCCACCCAACCTACTGCAACGTCTGGAATCCACCAAATCTGATACAGTAAGTTGACTGCGCAAGCAGGATTTCCTAAGTAATTCACTTAGAATCCACCAGATGACTTCCAGGCTCACCAAAGCCCTCACCTTACTTTCTTGAGTTCGAATCCCACCTAGGACCAATTTTCTCCCAGTTGGGTCAATATGAATTATTCAAAATCTGCCAAAACATCTATGAAGTACATTATTTTGCCTGGTGCTCTCTTGGGGTAAACAGACTCGTCTAAAAGAACTTGGTAGTTCGTAAGATCGAAGCAAAGTCGAGATAGTTGTCGTGCACGTTGTCGCTTAAGCCTGTTTTCACCTGCGGCAAACAATCAGAGAGCAGAAACGGTCGTTTCGACAAGTTACTCAGCAACTGATGCCATTTTTTTGATGTGAACGCCTTGACAGCCAAGAGTGTCCTCAAAGTCATGTCCCTTGGTAACTAGTTGGTGTGCAGGGTTGTACTGCTTTGATTTTTATACCAGGCCCCTGTTCTGAATTCTGTGTCGCCACATGGCCTACTGGACGTGACTCTATTCTTAACGGTCCTGTTGCTTGTTAACTCACTATCGGCAACCGAGATCGCTTCTAGAAAATACGAACAATTATCGGTGGTTTGCACACATGCAGATCCCGTATTTGCACTACCCCATGAAACAGGAGAGCTTCCGGCATGCGTTTAAGTAGTCGGGGTTGCAAAAGTCGCCGACAGAGACCAGGATTCCAGGTCAGTTTATTTTGATTATCTTCCCAAAAAGCATGATTGGGATTGGGGAGGATCCACTACTTAAGCAGCGTACATTTTTTCAGCTAAATATGTGCCATTTTGTATACTTCGCGAACATCATTGACACCTGTTTATGGCTGGCCATGGGGCCGAGTCACAAATGACCTCCTATACTCCACTTCGTTGATCCATCAAAGATCTTTAGGAATCTGTCGCCTGCTGCTCCCTTGCCACAACAGTTATTTTTTCGTCCGTCGGGTAGTAGTATTGTTGGGCTTATAAGTTTCCTTTGATTTGGGTGTCTGCCAAACCTAAGATTCACGCCCTCTAGATAGTTTCGTTTGCCGTTGAGTAATCATCATTACGTAGTTTCCCCGAATCCGAGGTACTTTCTTTATGAAGTTAATTTCTGAAGCAGTCAGCCCCACCGGTAGGACCAGGGGAATTGCCCTTTGACAACAGGTTTTGGTAATACACACAGTTTTATGTAGTCGACATGCAGCCGCTCAAGATGGCAAACACGAGACAAGTATGCGAATTAGATGACCGCGATTCGCTTTTCAGCCGGCTTCGTTGGGACACAGATTTGTCTGCAGCTAGGTGTAGGCCTAAACGGCACTCCTTATAATGACCGGCTCTTGTTTTGGATGTTGGCTATCAGGCTGTTGAATCCTTCCATTAGATGCCTTTTTCTGTCTTCATCCAGCTTTTCCCCCTTCGACACTAAGTTTGTAACCTGCAGCGACGACTCTACGGTTCGGATTTGGGACTTCCTGCGTTGTACGGAGGAGCGCGTTCTTCGAGGTTTGTCCAAAGTATCCCTCCTTTCTTGTCTACTGAGAATATTCTCGAGTCCACACATTTTCCTCTCCTCAACTCACGAGGTCGATGTGCCGGATGTTCGCGTCGGGAGATAGTTATCTTCTGAATCCGTGTCCTATCTCAACTGGCCTTTGTTGCAGTAGCCATACTTATGCATATTTGATCTATAAAAGCCTCCCAAAAGTTGTGACCTGAAAAGTAGTCAACTGGCGGATTAGATTGGTCTTTGAAGTCGAAGCCGCGTCAACGATTGGCCCTACTTAGCATGGCCATTGCTACTATTCAGGCTGATAGGAATATTCGAGTGTCTTTGGTTAGGAAGCGAAGCCAACAGTCGTTGTGGCCCGCATGCGTTAGGGCTTGTGCTAGGCCGGCTATTGTGTTAAGTCGCCTTGAGTCAGGCTTCCTATCCTAAAACGACGCAAAGGGGAATAGGGGGCGGGGAGGGCAGGTTGGCCTAGAGCGAGTTTCTTCTATTCTGTCCTACTGGCGAAATGCCTCCGTTACTCGGATAGCGATGGTTGTCGTCGAGCATAACGGACGGCCCACTGGTGATTTTTATTTGTATTTAGGTCTACTTAGTAGGCCAGAAGTATTAAAACAACTTCAATGGAATTAACAGGAGAATTTCGGGCTTTTTGCCGTCTTCCATCGAGAGGACTGATGTTTGAGATCGAGCCAAGTTAATAATTGGACAAAATACCCACCATCAGAACAGGGGGTCGTGTCCTGTTGGCCGCGATCGGGTGCCTTCAGGATCACACACGAGTGGCGTCCACCGATCCACCTTAGTTACAAAAGGGAATACGGGCGTTCCATTTGACTTTGAGGACCACGCGGACGCTTTCACTCCGAAACTCCGCTCTGGGCCTCAACTCGCATTATACACTAAAGTCACTCATGACCCTACTTCCTTTGACTGCAGTGCAGAAGCCCGTACGCACAGTGTGCCAGAAACTCCGGGTTTCAAAGGTCTTCTGCGAATAAAATTGGATCATGGAAACGGGTTTTAAGTGGCTCTCAACATCCACACTTCCATTCTTGACAAGTAGTCGTCGTGGGTCAGCTACTCGCACCCTTAGACAAGCCAGTGAACATAAGTGGGTTATGCTGGGGCTGTTTTGGTGCTTGCCAGAGACAGTATACGAATATTGGCGGTTTCCCTAGTTCTTGTTATTCGCAAGCTTTACAAAATTCGAATCGGAAGATGCATACGGCAACCCCTGAGGAACCCCTAGTGTTTTGATTCTTATCATTAGTGGTCACTTGCCCTACTCTGTGGGTGCATCCTGCTTTCCTGCTCTTAAGCCTGATCTTTGTCGTTCTACGCTTTGTCTCAGGCCATGGATCAGATGTCCGGAGCGTTGCCTGGCATCCCTATATGTCCTTAATTATGTCCGGAAGTAAGGACGCCCAACAACCAATCAAACTCTGGGAACCCAAAACTGGCGAGTCAATTGCCACCCTGTGAGTTATCCCCATGTCCCTCCCCGCGCACTGCGAATTTTTAGATGATGTATTCTCTGCTCTTGGTGCTCTGGAAATGTAACGAGCAGGCTCTAATAATTTGTGCACCCGGCGAACCCATCCCCTCTGAACATCAGCCACGCACGTACCCTCTTCATCCCAGCCGCTTGGCCGTACTGCAGCCGCTGAATAGGAGGAACCTAAGCGGTTCTTTGCACGTTGGTCCTCGTGTTGATCTACAGTACCAGGGGTACCTCTAAGGTGTGATAAAATGTCGAACAATTTCTAACCGCCTATGGACTCCAACAGATATCTCCGGCCCCTTTATCTCCATTCCCGTTATTCGTTTATTCACTTTTTTCCCTGCCAAACTGTACATGCATGGGGACCTGCAAGTTGGGACGTCTTCTTGATGATGGCGATACAGTTAAGACTGGCACGCCTTGCAAACGAACCCATGCATATTTGAATGCACGATTGTACAGAAAAAAATTTGTATTTCATAGGACTGAAAAAATCCTTTTCAGTCATTTCTGTGATGACAGTATGATTTATGTGATGAAGGATGGAAAGTACCTGCGGAACCAACCTGTACACCACCTTCGTCGATTCCAGGGGGACTTTCGAGTCCGTAAGCTGATATTGACTCCGCGAAGTAATATTGAAATCCAAGTTTCCAGAAGGGTCCACATCGTGGCCTGCCTTATGGACAAAAAACCGACTTCACAACTCCACAGTGACAAACGGTGTAGAGCAGGGTTGCGTACTTGACCAAACTCTCATAATAGAAGCGAAGAGGCGAGCTCCAGGAGGTAGTCGTGGAGGAGACTCGCGGCGCCACTCGGCGGCGTGCGGTGAGCGTCAGAGCCGAAAACCTTGACCGGCATACAAGCGCATAGCAGCGGCATACTTCAACACCTGGCTAGTCGAGCTGTGATGCACTCGTGAGCTGCCAACTGCGATAGACATGTAGTGACCTAGCAAGTACATCCTATAAATACTACAACACCTGGGCAATCCACTACCCTTATCTAACTCTGTCTCTAATGATGGATTTGAGTGAGAATCCGAAACGCCGGGCTAATAAACCACTTGTTCCAGCAATCGTCTCTCCTTCTTCGCAAACTCTCATAAGCTTCATGTCCTTTGCAATGCTTATGAGGACCTATCGAAGCGGTCTGCTAAGTATCGACACCAGTTATAGAACCAACCGGAAACTGTTCATAAACTGCCCTATGCCGGACACTACAAAAACTTCAAGGTCTAAGCCACATCACTCCCCTTTCACCGAAGTGTACATTAAATGCCCTAACTGAGGTGGACACACAGCTAAGTCCAGACTTTTTTGTCTTCTGAAACACCAACCGACTCGAAGTGTTAAGTACTCCAAGCCTACGGTAACTATCAATGACAATCACCTCGCAGCTGTGGGCCAGTCTCAAGCAATATCAAAACTGACGGCGAAATTGCAACTCAAATTTCTATGACCAGTATGATCGGTTGCTTACGGCAATCAGCCCGGAATCGCAGCGACATACCCTGACACTGCTCATTTACGGAACGGCAAGGCGGAAATATCAGCACCAGGCGAGGTGGTTGAATCGCCTTTACTGGGACTCTCCTTAAAGCGTAATGAAACTGAAGCGGTAGGAAGGGATCCCGGGCACTCAGGTCCTGGATTCAGTTTGTCTGCTCGGCAGCTATGCCATGCCGAAACGGAGCAATCATGGCTGCCTGATCTCCTCTTTAATGCCGAGCGCTGAGGGTGCCCACAGACAAGGTTGATAAAACGAACCCCAACTGAATGTTGAAGACTTCCTTCAGATGGCAAGAAATCAACCATGAATTCCGGAAACATGCCCAGGACCAGCAAACACGGCAAGAGACCTTAACAATGGAGTAGCCATCTTCAAATTCAACCACATACTGGAAGCCACGACACAGCAACGACCACACAAAACTGGAGCATTTCAAACCAACTTCGTCAACATTCAACTCCTCTCAACATGCCTTTACTTTCAACTCACCGTCAGGGCATTTGTCGGCCTTTGCATCCATCACAGTTCTCATGCGATCACTGCACTTCGCGAAAAATTACCATCGCTATGTATATATAACCATTCACCCTCATCATGATCGCACGTTCTGGTCCTGGTTCGCCCTGATTGAATCCCACTAAATCCATCGCAGCGCGTGCTCTGCCAGAACGTATGACAGCCGCCAATCCTCCGTGGTCTCCATAATAATTCACACACGTGGTCGTATTCCTTCCACGCCGACTTGCCTAATCAGGCATTGTCCGTGTCCTCAACATTGAAGTGTAATGGCTGAAGTTTTCGGTGTAGCATCCGCTAAACCTCAGTGCACACACATTGCTTCTCTCTGCCAATTACATCAGTAAGTCCTCAACCGTAAACTCGGTGCAAAACTTGCCCACCTGTTCAGCGTCCACCTATATTACCATCATACGGCAGAAACATTACTGGCCTGGTCGGCTACCTGCAAATCCATCGCAGCATGACTGGCTTACGGGGATCATGAGCCCTGATCAACGCTCGTCAGATCCGCCTTGCCCAACCACATAGGTTCGCAGCTGTCGGCAGCGCATGAGCTCGGTTGATCACATGAGAATAAACGAAGAAAATTACTGCCACATCAACCGCCACTCACTTAATAATAGTGAGAGAAAGTATGACGACGTGGCTTACAGCCGTGGCGCCCACGGTCGCCAGCTGACAATGTAACTTGATCCACTTCAGGCTTGATGGTCAGATCGCATTCGGTGTTTCTTATGGCTCTCACGTACGTCAGGTTCAAGAATCCCTAATCGGAGACTCGTTCGTATAGACTTCGAGGTGCTCACATGCATGGCTCACGTATACAGACTTGTTTGTCGTCAGACAGTGTGTCCCCACCAGTCTCCGGTCGTCTGACATTCATGTTGCCTTTTCTTCATCATAAATGACTGCATGCAAGTCACCACTGAGCCTCTTCCTGGACAGTGTTGGTTGTTTTTGTTTTCGACAGCCGAGCCTCCAACTGACTCTTGGTTTTGTTAGCTATCATTTTGTTGAAAAAGGACGCATTTCTTATTAGTCTATTTCTCGAAGATCGTCTCGTAGTATTCTGTCCAAACCACCTTTCATGGTCTTTTCCTGTGTGGAAATCCCCTAGTAATCTGGTGGGACTGACATATGTGGCCCGCTAAACAGGACATGGGAATAGGTATTCGCCGCGCACGTAATAAAGGTGAACCTGCGCGTAACCTCGGAAAGAACCAAATATTCCCGTGCCCTAACCCCAACAATGATCGTAATATGAAGCTAAACCGTAGCCCTAATCTTGACCCTAACCCTACCCTATGCCTTAACTCTGCAGTTAACACCAACCCCTATCTTGACCCCAAGCTCGACCTTGACTTACGTTATCGTTGACTTTAAACCTAATCCTTAACTTAACCCTAATCTGAAACCCAACCCTAATTTCACTGGGAGTTGACTCGAAGCCACCCGTATTGCAGGCGGTCCCTGTTCTTATGCGCGGTTTGGGGGGTCATATAAGTCAGTCCTACCGGTAATCCTGTCGAGCTTTGAGTTCCCGGATTTTTTCCGTTTTACTGCTGTTTTGCATTCCGGAGCCAGCTAGCGCCCCTTGCTTTACCTGATTCGCCTCGGCTCCCTGCAAATTGTACCACTTTTCTGACCTCTTTCCCTTTCTTCTTCCTCCGATCTAGTTACGTTCACAAAAACACCTGTACAGATGTCTCTTGGAACCAGAATGGAAATTGGTTCCTGACTGCTTCACGAGATCATCTGATCAAGCTTTTTGATCTTCGCTACATGAAAACGGAGATGCAGACCTTCCGTGGACACAAGAGAGATGTTATGCGTGTTGCCTGGCATCCCTGCCATGAGAGTCTCTTCGCCAGTGGCAGTGCAGATGGGACCATTCTCTTTTGGTGTGCGGGGTATGTGAAAGTGAGGGAGGCCGTCAGTGCCTTTTTGCTGTCGTATTGTTCTAGCTTTTACTGACTCAGTCCGTCCGCCCTCCCGAAGTTGCATGATCAGTCTCACGCCCCACGCTTTCAATAAAATACGCTACTTGCTTCAATTGATCCCTAGTACGAACTACCTACTCATTACTTCTTTTTGGGTTTCCAAAATTCTTTGTTTCCGTAAAGTTACAGGCCAGCTTTAGCCGCTGATAACAGCTCGTTGAACTTCATCCACAGGTCTTTGTGGTGACACTTTTTAAATTCACTTGTAGCAGGAGCTTGCCAACGATTTTCCTAGTCAATGACACGAGTAGTCTTACCCTTGATGGTAGGCTTTTACTCTCGGCCATGGTTTCCCGAGTCAGCAGATCCCTCGCCACGCTCTTTTCTCTTGCATATCAGGGCAAAAACTATACCAGTGTCCACGTTTAGTTTCTATCACGCCTGCATTGTAATTCCACTTCATTTGGGTATTTGTCTTAAAGAAAGGGCTGATAAATTAAACGGCCGAAGAGGTAGCACTAATGCATTGCCCAAAACAAAAAAGAATTTATTCCGGCATCCCCATGGACACTTTGTCACTAAGTCGTTATCAGCGTCACGCGTTAAGGTTCATTCTCGTAAAGTTCGTAGCAATTTGATGATTTGGTTCAAGACTAACTTAAAATACGCCACCTTCCTCGTACTTTTTGCTATCTGCAAAAGTAGTAAGTTCGGTCCAGAAACAGGGCATAGAAATCGTGAGGGCCTCATTTCCACCTGCGTAGTCTCATTTGTGGTCTTACTTGCATCATCCTCCATTGTTGTTGGTCATTTGGTGCTTACAAGAGTCATCAGTGTTGTTAAGCCATGAGTTACTATCCTGCTGTAACACAAAAAGACTGTTTTGAGACAGCTATTCCAAAAGATACGTCAAAACTTCTATGTCATATCGTCCAATATAATCGTCCGAACTCGAAGTAAAGCTTCCGGAGTATTACATTTATGCTCGACTCCTCCTTTTTCTATCAAAAGTCAGCTTCAGCAGAATCATAATGCCCTGTTGAAACCATTCTTTCAACACTATAGGCTCGTTTAGGCAATAAAGTTAGGCTTTTTTAACGTTCCCTTACTGTCATTTCCGTTAAAAATACCTGATAACTGCGGTAGACCGGTTTGCCATAAGCTTTTGGATTGTAATGATGTTATACAGAGCATAGCGACCAGCGTTTTCCCCACTCTTGTCTTTACTGTCCGTCTTACGTTGGCTGTTTTCCTACGCGCTAGAACCGACACAGAATTGGGCGCTATCGATGATGCTCACGAAAGTATGATCTGGAGCTTGGCCTGGCATCCTCTCGGTCATATCCTGGTTTCCGGAGCCAATGATTTCGCCACGTATGTCTTTACACGAAGTCCTTTCCTTCTGCCCTCCCCGGTCATTCGTTCTGCTGCAGGTTCTTCCTTATTTTACCATTCATGATTTCCTTCCAAGAGCCTCAAATGCTCCGCTCTAACTGATTTCACCTTTTAGCGCACATGCAGTGTCGCCTTGGTGTCTACCGTTTCCCACAATGCCCATCAACATCTGCCCTCCTATTATTTGCCTATTTCACCTCACTTTCTCAGCATTGATCAGACGATCTGTACGCGCTCCCTCTTCTCCCTTGAAAATCGCCGTCTTTAATCCTACCTCATTAGTAATTGTTATGCACATCTAAGAATAATGCCCCGGCCTGCTCCTCTTAAAACACGCACTTGTTTTACACTAACAACTAGTCGATGCTGACTCTCTGATTTCCATGTTTACGTTAGGCACAAGACCGAGACAGCTTACCTCGTTTCCCGAACAGTTCATTTGTATTGGTGCTGGCTCTTGTTTTTTTCCATAGGAAATTCTGGACGCGAAATCGTCCGGGAGACATCCTGAAAGAAATGCCTGGTACTGGCAACGTCGGCAGCCTGCCGGCCCTCGCCACAGACGGTCTGACCAGTTCGTTTGAACATACAAAGTCTCAAGGCGACCTTGTCAACGATGAGATCGGTGGGAGTCTTGCCCGTGCGCTGGCCGACGCCGCCGGCCGTTTGCCGATCTTTGAGTCGAACGAAATAACTCTCCCAATGCCAACCTTGCCAATTCCACAAGAGAACAGTGTGGTCACCCCGTCCCAGGCTCAAGTTCACCGATCCTTCGAGAATGAGGAGACTGAGGAGCCTCGACGTATTGAGATCCCTGGATTGAATGAAGGTCCCGTCAGTGATCTGAACTCCAGCGACACAGAGATGGACTCCTCTGAGCGCAACAAACTACGTCAATCACGCTCCATCCCCAAGGAATTTGCGGCCAATTGGGCCAGCATGCGCGTGAGACCTACATCTCATGTGGTTCTTTCTGCCGTTAGTCAAAATCAGAGCGTTACCATGGAAGCCGCCTCAACTGGGTCGGTTCAGACTACTGCCGCCACCATGCCGACAGCTGATAACGCGACGGCTTCTGATGTTGTTGCATCGTTGGCTGATGATGAGAAGGGTAGGTCGTCATCTACCAATGCACCACTCTTCACGTCGGACATGCGGCCGAATCACAGTTCCTCGCAGTCTGTGCCAGCCCCAGGTACAAAGGACGGTCCGGCATCAAATGAAGGTATTCTTACACATTCTCTGATGGTATTTCTTTATGAAATTTGTTTTTGCAAAGACTCCCCTGAATCTTCTCGTTCTCAAAGATGTATCGCTTCTCTCCTCACTGTCTCTTCACTCTGGTAGGGCGTGACAGCTATAAACCAAACTAATATTATTTGGGACGCAAAGGTCTGTTCGGGTTTGCCTGCAAAATATTGAAAACTTGAGTTTTGTCCTCTGCACTTTATAAACATTCTTATCATTGAATGACGAAATATGTTCAGTTCTTTGAATCAGATCAGTAGCTAGTCCTTTTGATGTTGCCGACCCCTTAAAGTGCCGAACTACCTATAAGTCGGATCACCTCCTCCCTTCGAGTCCAGTCAGGTGCTCTGCCGCATTAGATCACAGTGTTGCTTTATTTTTTACTTCCAATGCATGCCCGGTGTGGTCTGAGCCACTTCTGCTGGGCTAGGATACAGACCTTTTGTACTCCAAGAATGAACAGCCTATTAGTTGAAGCTTGCTGTAAGCAGTGCTGCGCATTGTCGGAAATAGAGGCTTCTCGACTTTTACCCAGAAGAAAAAGTTGTTAAACTTTGTGAACTTTGTCATGCCCCAGTATTCCGCAACGCCAGGAAGCAATTATCTCCTTAACTTTCAAAGCACTTTGTCTTCGGTAAAAAATTTAAGAGAACCACATACCGCAGGTTTTATTTGATATCGAGGAATGTCGCGACCGCTTTTCAGGCGTTTCCTATTGCTCCATATGGAGGGAAAAACGAGTTGTGGTACACGACGGCCTAAATTGATGCAGAAAGCCTCGATGTGAACGGCAAGGTCGTGATTCAAAATATACAGTCTGCGTGATAACTAAATGAAGTAACGGCGACGCAAAAAGGGCAAGACTGAGTCTGCGTGATCCACCTATTTGCACAAGTTTTTCTTCCATATAGGGACTACCCCCAAGCGATGCATCATCCGAGGTGTAGGTGAACATATAAGGACTCGGGGGCCTGTTTTGTGTCAGCAAAATGTCCATTACCTAGAACGTGCCTTGAGATAGGGGCGTGGCGCATTTTCTTCAGACTAAGCGTCTGGAATACTCCACGAACCAAGGAAACAATACACTGACCATTTCGAGGTCGCACTTTGATGAAGGCTAGTTAAACTCGACTACATTGAGGAGATTGCCCAGCCGGCATCAAGCTGCAACGACCATCTTCGTTTCCTGTTGTCACTAGGTTGCGACATGCCATCTTCATTTGGCTTTTGACTGTTGGCATGTTAACAGCTTTTCCGCGGCACCTGTGCTCATTATGAAGCACTTCGGCAATCATTTTTACTTCTTTTCTCGTGGTGCAGCTTGTCTTGGATGCGTCTTTTTGACTCCAACGGATTTCAGTCTTCCTGAGCAGTATTAAAAAGGGAGTTTCTGGAATTTTTACGTTTGTACTGATTTCAGGCACATGGATGTGTTCGTAATCTTAACAATGAGTATAATGATAAATAGGAAGCACGGCTGCGTGAGTTTTAAAGTAGTGAATACCACATATTTCACCCAGCTACCGGATGCAGTTTAGATAGCTGCAGTGGGACATTAGAGCAAATTTTTGAGGCCGTCGGTTTAACACCTCGCAACAGACTGTGCTGCACGAGTACCTTATTTTCCAAAGTGAAAGTAGGCATAGTTTTACTTTCTGCGTTGTACCTCCGTTGATACATTCGAACTGACAGTCGCCTGGTAGTCGAAAAATAAACTGTGACTAACGGCCAACCAAGCTTTTTGGCTAGTCTGGGACTGAAACGGCGAAGTACGTTTTTTAGTTGATACGAGCCCATTTTGATAGATGCCACCAAAAGATCGCATCTTTTGTGGCCTTTTCTCATTATTTTTATACGCCTGTCAGCGATTCTAGCTGCACAATCTTCTATTTCATACGTCCTTCGATTTTCTGTGTATGCTCCTGTTTTTACAGGCACACGTACACTGGGTTCGATGATGATTTAGGGGGAATTGTTTTTTGCAAATGGGGTCTGCTTGCTCTTGATTTGCTAAGGGAAATAAGACCACACACAGACCTTTTGATCGAAAATCAACTTGTAAAGACATCGAGGACATATCATCTATGACTAATCTACATGTTACAGATAGTGTAACCGATCACCGTCATGGAAGTGCTCATAAGATGGGCAGAAAATTCGACACCGCCGCTCGGGAGGAGGATATGCTAGCGTTTGCCAACAACTTAAATATCAGTACCACTGCCAGCGAGCCACGTTCCAAGCACTCCTCGGCTCAGCCGCCGCTGCACCGATCACACAAATCTAAGTCGGGTCCTCTGCCATCGCAGATGGGTCACCCCAATGCTCCTCCGGCCCCACCGTCACAGCAGCCCCCTCCACCGCCGCCAGACCACTGCATGCCTAGGCCGCGGGTGGACCGATATGGCGACGGTGCTCGATTTCCTGGTCATACATCTACCAGCAGGCCTTCAGGCTCCGGGATGGCCCCTCAGCCACTCCGCGACTACCCGGGCCCTCGACAACCCGATGACCCCTGGGGAGGGCCCGGTTATCCGCCGATGCGGGATCATCTCCCACCCGGCAGGGGCGGGCCCTGGCGCAATGACGGCGGTCACCCGATGGAGCGCGATTTCCGCGATATACCTCCACGGTCCCCAATGCCGCCACCATCTTTTCACGGCCCAGCACATGACCAGTGGCCTGCCTCTCGGTTTCGAGAAGACCCCGCTGCCGTCTTTCCACCGCCACCTAAACGCCCTGCCCATGGCCGCCACATGGGAGGATCGTCCAGGCAGGAGAACCCCCAGTGTCGGGAGCCATGGAATGATCTGCCACCACCAGCGCCTCCTTCCCACCGAAGCGGGTGGTAGTTCTGCCAAGACGAAGGCTGGCTCCTTTTCTCCAGGCTGCTGTTACTAAAGTTCCCTGTGTACACATTTCTTATAAGACATAGTATTTGTCGTGCTGTTTACACTCCTTCTGAATGTCACTACTTTTATACTACTTTGATGCTCTCTTTTCCCACAGATATAATTTGTATCAGTGAATAGGTTGAGAGAAGGATTTCCTATGGCAAGCATTTGTTAGCCTTTATTCGGCTTAGCTGCCTTGTGATAAGTGCCGTAGTGCAGACCCTCATTGACGGATACTGTGCTAATCATAGGTGTGATTGTCAGTTAACATTTACAGAAGATTGTCCCCTACAACAGTGCATTTGGCGTTATCCTCTTTGTAACTTCTATCCCAAGTTCACGTGCCAATTCGAGATTTAGAGGAGTTACCCTTCTCATGCCGCCTTCTAGGTCCTCCTGGTGAGTAGCTAATAATAACACTTATAAAGCCAAAGTTGTCGTACTTAATACTGCGTTGCCAACACATATTGAGCTTCTATCAAGTCGTTCCAGATCCGGCGAGTGTACTTTCAACCAAGCCCTGGATATCCTGTGCACGTGATGACTGCTGCTGCTTCATGCTTGTGCCCTCTCCCCCCTTTATATTGGCACCGACCTTTCATTTATCCGGTTGAATACTGTGAATCACGTCCCGCCTTGCGAAGCTAGCCTGATTTCGGTATGGGGCTTGAGAATACTTCGTTTTGCCATGAAGCTCCGGTCTAGAACTCATGCAGGCGGACCCACAGTGGCGAGCAATCAGTAATCGAATATTGCCAATAAACATAAAAAAGGGTAGACTAACCATTTCTGGCCGTCATCAACCAGCTGCACACTTCCAGGCCTGGGAGAACCGGGAGTTCGAATCTTGTCTCTGACCGTTGGACGTTTAATCAAACGATGTGCCATTGAGCCGCGGGTTGGCGCTATATCAGCAACGGCTGGAAATATTCGAATCCAAGCAAGGATGTCAGCAGTCCAGGCCGCGACTTTTTGACCCCATGTAGCTCCTTCAAAGGGACTGCCTGCCAACTATTTTCATCAATTCTGCAGCATTTCCGTCTTCTCCTGTCCGACTAATGACATCGTGGTCGCCGTAGTAGCACCTAGCTGGACAACAGAATTATCTCAACTCAAGAATGAATAAGGGCCACGCCATAGTTTGCAAAGTCTGAAATGAACTGTCCATGGGAGTACTTCCCCAGGATGGCAGATCCGGGATTCATTGAAAAACACTTTAAATCGAAGTTTGTTTTGAACATTTCGTGGTCTTCCTATTTAGTTTTCGAAATAATAGGTGTTCTGAAGGCATGGCCTTCGCGCGGACCATAAATATGATCTACAGAGTAGTTGGCTGTGTAGTTTGTTTTAATATGGGTATGTGCATCTTCCTGACGACGCCGAAAGCGGGGTCGTATACAACGGCCAAGTGAGAGAGCTGAACTGCCATCGGAGGATTCTATATCTATGATGACAGTGACAGAACTCGGACAGCCAGCTCTTGAAATGGGCTTGCACGATGGGTATATTTCTTAACCTGACATTTTGACGAACGGTCACGCCATGGTGTCTGATGAACACTTCACAAAGGAACTGTCCTACAGCGACGTTGCTACAGGCTTCCGCAACCTAGAAAAATAACAGCAACTACACTAGCGCATGTTTAATGCCTTAACCAAAGACCTCAGAATCGACTTATTACCCTGAATGGCTCGCAGACAGTGAACTGTTATAAGGGGAGCTGCACCCGCCTAATATAGGAAAGCAACGAGAAACAGCAAGAATAAAAGACTGGAATCCCATAAAACACCCGCGCCGGCGCCCGCTTCTTTTTCACATGTCACAACTGCCACCGCACATACAGGACACATAGTGGCCTTCTGGCGCACCTCAGCCGCCACAAGGACACCGTGGATTCTACGCCCTGGAACGATACCAATCACTCCCCCCTCTTTTGCGTTGTCGGGGGACTTCGCGATCCCGAGTCGCCCTTATTTGAGACATTATCCACTAGCCTTCGGATGACGAGGTCCACCCCTGCTACATAAAGTAGACCCAGCGGTGACATGCTCATAAGTTTGTACTGGAGCATACACACGTTGCATCTACCTCCTTCCTCCCACATCCGTCTTGCTCTGAAAGCAAAACAAATCCAAGACTACCGAAGGTGGGTTCGGGCGTAGCGGCCAACAACACATCTCAGACGAATCCTCCGTATCAGGAACTGTCCTACAGCGACGTTGCTACAGGCATCCGCGGCCTAGGAGAATAACAGCAAATACACTGGTACACGTTTAATTCCTTAATCAAAAGACCTCAGAATCGACTAATTACTCCGATTGGCTCGCAGAAAGTGGACTGTTATAAGGGGAGGATGGGTTCTGGCGTATCGGACGAATCCTGCGAATGAGTTGTATCCTAGTGTTGACAGCGCCGATCTGCCATGTGGATGGATTCATACTCATTGGCGGTCTTGCCCTCTCTTCCCACTTCCATGCACCAGTGGCTTGTCAGAGTTAAGCCGACTTGATGTGAGATTGGGCTCAATGGCTGGCGTGGCGCGAGGTTGCCGTCCAGCATGTTTCGCGCACATGCTACTCCTTCACTCCACATATCCAGACGTCATCGGATAGCATGTCTTTCACGTACGCGGGATGTGCGCATTTCTCCACACAACGCTTTGCCTGTCAACGATGCTAGCAAACTGCATCGCAAAAATTTTTCATGGGTAAAGTGTGTTGTTTTGCCGGTTGCTTTCGTGTGACTGCGAGTGTCCTGATAAACCTATTCTTCATCGAATTATGTCTGGGTTGAGCGCAGGAATCTGACCCCTCACCCATATTACAGGTTGCCTTGTCCAACATACCAGGGGG